CTGCAGAGAGGTGGTGGGAGAGAAACTGGGGGCACTGGTGATGGGGAATATACACTGGTGATAGGACAGGTATTGGAACATTGTATGACTGAAACCTAATAATGAACAACTCTGTAACTGTGCATCATGGTGATTCAATTTTTTTTTAAAAGGGAAAAAATCCAATGATTACTGGGTTTTATAATCAACAATGACTGCAAGATTATTAGTTTCCCATTCTCCAATATTATTTCCGATCACTTCCCACCTTGCTTCATTTTGTTTTGGCACAATGGTCATTTTCTGCTTCTTCAATCACATTAATACTGATATTTATACTTGCTGTTATACAGACCTATAAACTTTTCTGTTCTTTCTTTCTGGAACATTTCCCCCTAGTATAATAATCCCTCATTTATTTATCTCCTAAAATGTAAACTTTAACAGAGAGGCATTCCCTTACTATCCTGTACTTAATAGCAGCTCCAACTCTATCCTATCTAACCACTGCACTCTCTCTTTATTTTGGTTTATTTTCTCCAGGCACCAATTATTCCTTGATACGTATTTCAGTGTTTTTATTTTCTACCTTTTCCCTGCATAATAATGCAAGTTACATAAGAGCATTTTGGTTCATTAATATAACTTCAATGCTTAGATTAACCCTGACCAACAATAAACATTCAATAAATATTTGTAGAATTAATTAATCTGACTTTCCACATAATCTATAGATTCACTACAGAAATTCTGCTATCTTCATTTTTTTGGTTCTAGCACTACAACTATGTCCCGATTATAGCAAGCATTCATACTATGTATACTATAAATAATGACACAATATAGTTCTGGAAATATTCAGTTTGCATCAGATCCTGTTATTGTAGTGGACTTCATTCTCATTTTATTTTCCCCTTCTTTTCTTTCGGGTGGGGTTAAAGAGGGATTCACACTAGGCACTGCTTGAGGGCTAATCGAGGTGTGGTGCTTGAGGGTTGCTCTCTTTAGTTCTTTAGTCCCAAGGATCAAACCCAAGCCTCCCACATTCTTTTCATGCACTCAGCCTGCTGAACTATCTCTCTGGACCCATGCTCCAAAATTCTCTAAGACTCCAAAAGGCTCTTGTCCAAAATCTGTGTGTAGTAGTATCAATATCATGTACCATTATAAATGGCTAACCTCTACGATACCACACAGGGCTGTTCTGGTAGAGCAAATAATCAGAGTATCACAAATATTATTTCATGATCAGGTGGGTTTGCTGTTTTCACCATTCTTTCTCCTGTCTTCATTCCTAAATGTAGTGAGTTTTACTGAAATATTTGGCTATAAGAATCACTACCTCTGACTACAGGTAGTGAAACAAACCTATTGCTGAACCATTAACCACATGGTCTTTATATTATCCCACTGGAAAAACAACATACTATCCTATGGCATGACTGCTTTTTTTTTTTCCCTTTATTTTATTTTATTTTTTTTTAAGTTGTAGATTTACAATTTTTTGTGCTTTGGTTTCAATTATACAATGATCAGATACCCATCCCTCCACCAGTGCCCATTTTCCACCACCATAGATAATATCCCTCCCACCCCCATCCTCCCATCCCCCCTGTCTCTGTGGCAGGGCAATCCCCTGTGTTCTCTCTCTCCTTTTGGGTGTTGTGGGGCATGACTGCTTTTTAAAAATTGAGTCATTAAATTTATATGAGAAGAAAACTTATGAAAATGGTGTCTGAAACAAAAGAAATTAGGTAAAATTCAAAGTAGAGATTTTCTTCTCATTTCACCTAAAAAAAAAAAAATCAAATTAAGGGCTGGAGGGATAGTACAGCAGGTAGGGAGCTTGCCTTGCACACAGCCAACCTAGGTTCAATTCCCCAAATTCCATGTGTTCCCCTGAGCACTGCAAGGAGTAATTCTTTTTTTTTTTCTTGCTTTTTATGGGTCATACCCGATGTTGCACAGGGGTTACTTCTGGCTCATGCACTCAGGAATTACTCCTGGTGGTGCTCGGGGGACCATATGAGATGCTGGGAATTGAACCTGGGTTGGCCACAAGCAAGGCAAACACTCTACCTGCTGTGCTATTGCTCCAGTCCCAGAGTAATTCTTAAGTGCAGAGCCAGGAGTAATCCTGAGCATCCCTGGTGTTGCCCAAAAACAAAAGCAACAGCAAAGTCAAATTTTTACTCCTATTTCTAATTTTAGTTCTTAATCTAATAGATTTAAAAGCACTAAATGAAAGAATAAAATAAGAACCAGACATAAAAAATAAAATTAATTTCCATAGTAGACTTTGTCGCAAACAAGGACACACAAACAAAAATAGGGCAAAGGCATTTTTCCTTGGGCCAAGAGAACCTTTGATTTACTATGATGGTCTTAACAAATTCAAAAATAAGGACAGGTATTAAATAACGAACATTATAGAAACAGCATGAAAAATATTTCTATAATATTTTCCAGACAGATAATTCAGAAAAATGTAGCCATATAATGGGGTCATAGAATAATTTAAAAAAAAATCACAATCTCTCACTACGAACTTCACAGTTAATTAAAAGTAATCTGTGGGCCAGAGAGACAGTTACAGGGGTTGACACTTGCCTTACTTGCATCTGACCATGGGTTCAATCTCCAGCACCACATATGGCCCCCAGAGTGCCACCAGGAGTGATCCCCGAGCACAGAGCCAGGAGAAAGCTCTAAACACTGCCAGGTGTGATAACACTCCTAACCACCCCCCCAAAAAAAGACAAAAACAACTAATCTGTGCCCACTCCCTGTGTCCTCCTCTCCCTTTTCTTACCCTTGTTCTTCCGAATTTGTTATAACCTCCTTCAAGGAAGAACTATCTAATCCTAATTGACAATCTATAAATTTCACTTTAGTGAGAAAAAGTGAGTCAACATTGACACACATTACCAGATGTATCTATAAAGTGGTAAGAAAGCATTCCTAAGATTATTCCTAAAAAATTGTTGAGGCAGCAAGGTCAGTTCCAAAAGTTTAATCACACTGCCTCACGCCTGTGTTCACAGCTCCCCTAGCTCTAGCTCACTCTGCCTTGATTTGTGACCTGTTACAGCTCTTCCATGCAGTCACTTGCACATTGAAGGTGCTAGAACAGTGAGAGAGGGATAGCAACACTGAGGCAATGGGGGTGAGGGAGAAAGTGTGAACCATGACTCACAGGCTCATAGTCAACTGCTACATCCATGACAATAACCTGCTTCCTCATTCCAGCTAACTGCCTATACTCTATCCTATCAAACCAGTGAGGATCAATGGATTTTAACTGGAGTCAGAAAAGCAGATGAAATGCTTACTAATACAGGATTAAGCAGTATGTAAAATGGCAGCCAGAAGGATGGGAAGATATTTTCTCAGGGCTTGGGGAATCTGTGGCTGACTAAGACAACCAAATGTCAATCATATATTAAATCTAGCACAAATGAAGAAAAATAGTCTATATTTTAATTCTCCTAATACGTCCTTCTTAATTGGTTCCCAAATCTTCCAGGAACTAGGATTATTTTGGCTTGAAGATGAGACTTAGATGTGATTTGCTAAATGAATCTAGACTGCTTTAAAGTGAAAGAACTGATTTCTTTTCTAGGAATATACTTCATTACCTCGCCACTCTGAGTTAGCATAAATCAGACCTATCATGGGGCTTGAACAAGAGCACAAGCCCCATGATAGGTCTGTTTCTGAAAACACAGCAAGAGATCTGGATAGACATTTCCCCAGCACACCAAAAAAACGATTTTGCATCGCAGTTGGGGGTGGCGGGGTGGAAGGAGGGGCGGGCAAATCTGACATTAGCATTGCATTGGTGCCATTCTAGATGCTCTGCTTTTTGCTTTTTTTTTTTTTTAAAGTAGATTCATAAACTCTGCCCTCCAGCAGACATGCTCAAGCTGAAACTGGCAATTTCAATGAACTAAGCTGACCCCCACATCCTCCCTGCCTTGTTAAATTAAAAACACCCAAGAGCGGAGAAAGAAACCTGGAAAAATGCTGCAGAGCATTTAATTCACTTATACAAAATTTAATGCTCCATGAGTCACTGCCCAGATGAATACACTGGCCATTAAATTCAAGAGAACAAGTGAACCACAAGAAAACTTCAGATAAAACTACCAGGCTAAACATAAATTTGGCTCAGCACCGCTACAGTAACTGGAAGATGAGACTCGGATACCGTTCTTTGAGTCAGTAATTCTCGGCCAGCCCTTCCCTTCCTGCGGCTGGAGGGCAACAGCATCTTTGAACCCAGGACCCCCACCCCCCTCCCACCCCCAGACCTGGTGCTTTTCCTTCCTGCCAAGAACTACCGTGCGGGGGGGGGGGGGGGGGGACAGACTGCGCCATCCCCGGTTCCCCAGACGAACTGGTGAGTGAGCCGGAACGGCCCCACTCCCTCCCCTGCTCCCTGCTCCTTGGGGGCAGAGTGGCGAGATGAGAGAGACGTTTAGGGTTCACATTTGATGCCCTTGTCTCTCTCCGCCACCCACACCCCCCCCCCCCATCGGGATGGATGCTCAAAGATAGAGAAGACCCCGATCAAAGGGCGTAGCTCTTGCATAAAGGAGGGGGTGGGGTGGGGGCAAAAGGGGTCCACAAAGGTCACGAGGATCGAGGGTCTGCCAAGCCCCGCCACCCCCTCCCTCCCCGCCGCGAACTCCCTTCACACCCGTTTAGGCGGTCGCCCCCCTGTCAGGGTCACGGGACCGGCCGGGCGGACAGCGACGCTCACGTCCCACCCACTCAGGTGACTCCTTCGGGGAGGAAAAGGCGACCTGCGGGCAAGAAGACCGGCAAGGGGCTCCCGGGTGGAGTCCCCTGAGGAGGGCGGTGAGGGGCCGCCGGGTGGGGAGGACCGCGAGACGCAGGGCGCCGGCGGGCGGCGGGTCGGGGCCCCGCGCCGTGACTCAGTGAAAGCGGCCCCGGGTGGGGCCTCGGGCGCCGGCGCGGCTGGAAGGTGACCGGCAGCCGCGGCGGCGGGGGCTCACCGTGTCCTTGGACGAGCCCAGCTTCTTGAGGCCGTCCAGGGGCAGCAGGTCGGCGGAGTCTTTGTGAATGAACTGCACGGCCTGCTTCATCCGGCGCTGCTGCCGTAGCGACGCCGCTTCCCGCAGGTCGGGCTCCTTGCGGCCGCTCTCGGTGAGGAGCCCTGAGTAAAACATCGTGAGAGGCGCCCGCCGCGCGTCGCTCCCCGCTGCCCGGCTCTGCCTCGCGCTCCTCCGGCGCCGCCGGAGCCGCGCGCCGCGGCTTTTATAGCCGAGCGTGACGTCACGCGGAGCAGCCAGTGCGCGCGCAGGAGGCGGGGCCGACGCGCCGCCCGGCTCCGACGCGCGCGTCTCGGCTGGCTCTGGCGGGCGCCGCCGCTGCCCTTCTTGACGCCACCGGGGCTGGGGGGGAGCCGAGATTATTGGCACTGGTGGGACCGACCCCCGAGCTCCAAGGGTGCGCCGCGGCCGCTTTACCCAGTCTCGCCCGCCTCCTGTGGGGGAGCCCTCCCGCGGGGATGCGGAGTGGGGAGTCCGGTGCTCCAGCAGCCTCTCCCACTCCAGACGGCACCTCGGGGGTCCCCCGCTCACCTGTCCACGCCGTGGCCGACCCCGGGATCACCGACAACTGAGCCATTGCCCGGAGCCCAGCCCAGCGCGCCTGCCGCTCCACTTTGCAAATTGCCACCTCCTCGCCTCCTCCCGGAGCTCGGGCGCCTACAGTCCGGGCTCGGGAGGACAGGTGGCGCACTCCGAAGTTGGGATCGCTCGGGATTTCTCCCATTTCAGGTCGATCCCCACCCACACGGCCACGTGACTGAGGAGGGGGCAGCCGCCGCGGCGGCCGGGCTGGAGTCCGGCCCTGCCGGGACCCTCCCTCCTGCTGCCACCCTCGGCGGGGGCCCTGGCACCTGCGCGTCTGTGGGCGGCCGGCGGCTCAGCCTGGGGCTGAGGGCTGGCAAGGGTCGCCGCCTCCGCGCTATGACACCTGGAATTTGGAACAGCTGGCAGGAAAGCTGGGTTTTCTCAGCCAATACAAGGGTTTCTCTTTGGGAAGATTTTTCACTTTCTCTCCACCAAGCTTTCAGGAGCAATCAGAACCCGGTTTTCTTCATACGTCTTTCATACCCACATGTCATTCCAATGAGGCCTTCGGACAGTCTGGGTTTTGGCCTCGACGTCGTGAATTTGTACAAGCTCTGTGTGTGTGTGTGTGTGTGTGTGTGTGTGTGTGTGTGTTGTGTGTGTGTGTCTGCTTATAGGAGGTAGCATCACCATTCTCATCTTCCAAGAGCAGGCTCAAAGCAGAAAGATCTAAGCTTTGAAGAGAACTAATGATAAAAGTAGCAGTAATGACGTTTACTGAGCCTTTCTGTGCCAGGTATCAGAATGAATACTTAGCATACAGTGCTTTTGAATTCTGGCAACAAATTAGGAGCTAGTTTTAGCATTTTACATGGCAATTTTTGAGATCTAAGGCATCTTCTGAATGTGACCTGGTTTGGTTTCTTTCCAGGGCCTTGTTCTTGTCTGACTGCCAGGGTAATCTTTCCAAACAAGAGTTATCGGCTCACTTCCCTGTGAGGCTTCCTACTGCTATTAAGATAAAGACCTGCATTCTTGTATTGTCTACCTGTTACCTGCCTCTCCGCCCTACTCCAGCTTCATAAGCCTTCTTTCAGATCTTTGGGGGAGCTATTCTCCTCCCTCTTGCAGACTGGCCAAACCTTTGAATATTCTGGTCTCTTTGCAAGGAATGCCCTCTCCTTCCTGTTCAGTAAACAGAGGTCAGCTTATTATTTCCTTGAGACTACATCTCTGCTATCATTCCTTTGAGAAATCCTTCTGCCACTGCCAAGAGTGAGTGAATTCTTCCCAAGTAAAAATTCTACATCTCAGCATGGAGAGATAGTAGTGCTTGCTCACATGTGGCTTTCCCAGATTCAAATCCCCAGCTTTGCCAGGAGTGATTCCCTTATATGATTGCTTCTCTTGTTCAGTTTATCTACTATAAAAGAAATACTTTAATCCTGGGACATTAAAAGATGAAGAAGAAGCCAGGAGTAAGCCCTGAGATGGCCAGGTATAACCCCCAAACAGGGAGGAGGAATGGTAGGGGGAAGGTGGAGAAACCCTCTACATCTCTCCTGGACAATTCACTTGTTTTAGTTAGTTTGGTTTTTTATTTTGGGGGTAGTGGTGGTGGTGGTGGTGATGGTTGTCTGTGAGTCCTTGGGGGAGGTGTTGGGTGTGTTATTCATAAACTAGTATCTATGTCCCTAACTAACTGTAAGTTCCAAGAAGATGATCAAGTTTTTCTTTTACTTTTTTTCCCATTGATGCCCTAGCTTGTAGAAGGTATTCATTGTGTACTGATTTAAGGATGGCATGAAATTAAGGTGCTGTCCAAGAAAAACAAGCTGGGAGTTTAAACCCAGACTCTCTGCCCCCAGAGCATGTGTCAGAGCTCCCCTGCCTGAAAAGCCAGGTTTGATCTCCTGAACTCACTTCTTTCCCTCCATTGCTCCCTCCAACACTTGCCTTAGATCCAAGGCTCACAGACCACTTGTCAGATGAACCCTGAGATCAGAGGACACTCACCTGACTTCAAGGAAGGTCCAGCTGCCTCCGTCACCACACCAGCCACCAAGGGCAAGGTCTCTGGGATAGGAAGAGGATGCAATTGCAGCTCACCTTCAGTCTGGGCACACGTCCAGTGGTGAACAACAGTGGCTGCCCTGGCAGCTTCTGTCCTGTCGCCTGGATCCCTGCCTGATCATTTCTCTAGACTAGAGTTGCCCAGGGAACACTGAAAGACAGACTTGCCTTGTCTCTCGAGGACAGGTGCCTCTGAGTTCAGCAAAGCATACTCCTCCCAGAGGACAGTCCCTGCAGTTTGGACTGAGACAGCCACCGTCTGCTGCAAGCTTCCAGTATCCCACTCCTTAACTGCCTGGCTATCCTTTTGTTTTCTGCTGAAGATGGTCAGTGGAAGAAAGAGGCTTCATTCATAGCTTTATTCTCCATCCCCCAGGAATACCAGACAATGACTCTGTAGTTTCTTTGGAACCTCTCCTTATCAAGTGCTGCTGAAAAAAAAAAAATAGGGCCTTTACTGCAGCTGGGACTTATTTTGTCAATGCATAGCTTGTTCTAGTGAGATTTGGGTTCTCCTATTGGATCTGTGGCCAGAATGCCTATTGGTTTCCTCATTTCTCAGTGGTCTTCCTCAACCAGCCTGAAACCATTACTGCCCTAAAGCATGGGTCTGTGCACTGAGATCAGTTCCCTGTTCAGATGCAGACAGTGTAAATTTCTGCAGACTGAAGCCCTGAAGTCTGGTTCTGCATACTGATTTGAGGTGCAACTTCTCTGGACAGTTTAATGCAGTTTATCCAAGTGACCGAATAAATCACTTCCAACCTCTCAGCCTCATCTTCCTGTCTATAAAATTAATGAACTAAGATTGCATATAGGGGGCTGGAGTGATAGTACAGCAGACAGGGCATTTGCCTTGCATATAGCTGACTGGGTTCAATCCCCGGCATCCCATACATTTCCATCTCTCAAGCACTGCCAGGAGTAATTCCTGAGTGCAGAGCCAGGAGTAACCCCTGAGCATTACTGGGTATGACCCAAAAAGGCAAAAAAAAAAAAAAAAAAAAAGATTGTATATAAAATTTGGCTTTGTAAACTCTTGAGACCTGTACCAATGAAAGGTCATTATTAAATATGCATAATAAAATATAGACTTAAGCAGGACATAAACAACCTTCTCTGCCCTATTACTCATCTTGCCAGATTGGAAGAAGAATGATATTGTTGTTAAAAGCCTGGGTTTGGGGTCCAGTAACTAGGATTGAATCCCTGCTTTGCCGCTTACTATTTCTAGGACTGGTTACTTTGTCTTTCAGTTCCTCATTTAGGGCATAATGCTAGTAAACTATCCACTTCTCTGAATTACCATGAAATGTGACACCTAGTAAGTGCTCAGCAAAAGGTAAGCACATCATCACTTGGAATAGCCTCAGGAAACCTTTTCTATCCCTGAGTCTCAGCTGGTTGTAACCCTTGCTTTCTCCAAGCCTCCCTACAGAACTCTACCCAATACACACAGATATGAGCATCATAACCCCACTCTGGAACTGAGGCCTTCAAGGAGGGTGCTAGGCAGCTCCTTTCCTCTGCCTGTTGTCTCTGGATTCTGATTTTACCTTGTAAAGTGGCTCTATCAACATTATGTACATCCTACGTTGGCAGGCATCAAGGCTCAATCCTTGAACATTGTTATAGGGGCTGGATATATGGCCCAAAGTACTGGAACACTTTCCTTGCATGTGGGATCACCTGGGTTTGATCTCCTGAGCACTCCTTGGTAGCACTCTCCCCTCTAAATCAGTAAAACAAAATTGAAATTTAGTAGACAAGATGGTACTGTTTAAAATTGAATTTTATTTGTGAATGCTTGTGAATTCACAAGGGCTGGAGCGATAGCACAGTGGGTAGGGCATTTGCCTTGCACGTGGCCAACCCGACCAACCCCGGTTCAATTCCTCTGCTCCTCTCAGAGAGCCTGGTGAGCTACCGAGAGTATCTTGTCCGCATGGCAAAGCCTGGCAAGCTACCTGTGACGTATTCGATATACCAAACACAGTAACAACAAGTCTCACAATGGAGACATTATTGGGCCCATTCGAGTAAATCGATGAACAACAGGAGGACAGTGACAGTGACAGTGAATTCTTGTGATGACTTTTTTTTCAAAAATTCTAAATAACAAAGAAACCTGTTGGTCTCCTGAATTAGAATGTGAAGGGCAGAGGTCAGCGATGGCTGGATTCTAGGACTTGAATGATACAATCACTGTTTAAGCTCTGAGCTGCTCGCCTTGGTAGGCTGACTCTGTCTCATGGCTATCAGCAGCTCTACACTAAGTCTCTTCTCCCAGTGACTCTCCTTTGGGTCCTCAGTTAACAAGGAGACCTTTAGAATAGGATACAAGATGAGTGCCAAGACTGAGAGGACAGAAAAGTAGATGGGAAATGCAGAAGAATGAAAGACAGGTTGGAAAATTCCAGGGAATGTTCACTCCTCCTTTCCTTTGGTACTCATACATATTTTCTTGCTATTTCTCTGCCCTTGGACATACCGTGAAAGTAATTTCCACCACCTATATTTTGTATCTGCAGA